GAAGGTGTTACCTGCACAAGTAACTGCCAAGACAAGCCCTTCTGACCTTATCATTGATAAACTCCCATATGCATATTTTTCCCCAGATATATTCAGGTTTTTCCTGAAAAAATATCTATTCCACTGATAATGGAACAGTAAGTTTATGACACACATTGCTAAGTGGATTCTACAGAGTGGAGCTTTCTCAGTTGCTCAGGGAAGATTATCTGAGTAAGCCAACATGGAAATAGAAAGGTTAAACAAGTATTCTATTAAAAAAATATGGTTATATGAGCAAATTTCTGGAAACAGTCTCATTTTTAATGAGTATTTTTGTGGCAGCTGCAGAGAAAACTGTAGTATTATCATAATATTATGGTCACGCTTCATTTTTTTTCAGTAAGTTTTAATTCTTTATGTTCAAAAATTCACAAATTTTATCTTTCCAGGACATACAGCTCTTATTTCAAATTAGAAACACTGTTAAAGACTTCATTGTATATTTCTGGTAGTCAGAACATTCAGCTATGGTTGTGTCATTTCTATGTTGGATTAGATCAAACACTTTTCCCAAGTAACTGAGAAAGTGACACTGTAAAAATCACTTAGCAACAAGTGTAGCAAATTATTTATCCTTTCCCAACCAGGGTGTACCTGCACTTGGACACAGCAAAGATGCACAGCATTATTCAAATTAGTGTCACCATTTCAATGGGGTTCAGGTCAGTTCAGTGGGGTCCAGGTCAGGGCTAAATGCAGCTCTTTGCATTTTTTCAGACCATTAAAACAAAAGCTGTTGTTTGCCCTACAGGTGGGGCCATAACTTCCCCAGCAGTCAGAGGTGATGCCCAGGTACCACAGCTGGTTCAGAGCAGCTCAGTGTATCCCCAGAACATGCAGAGGTCCTAGCCCTGGCTTTGAAAGGCTTGGCCACTTTGGTCACGTAACTCACCTGGACTAACCAACACAGGTGGGTGACTTTGCCTCCCCCATCACCTACCTATGGCAATGCTGTAGTGTGTGTGCCCTTGCAGGGTAAGGGTAAGGCAGGATGATTGAGATTATACTCTCTCTTGAAGAATGACTAAAATTTGCTACAGTCATTTCCTGGGACTTAGAGATATGAGATATCCAGACAGACTTGGAATCGGAATTTTTTTTTTTTTTTTTTTTTTGCAGGTAGAATTAAAATATCATGAAACTAGGACAGCATACTGCTAAGAAAATGACTGAATGTTACTGTTCATAATTCACCTTTTGAAATAACCTCATTATCTCTCTGAAGTTTAAATATTCTGAACTATCTGAGTTCAGATATTTGTGTTAGAAAAATAACAGTACTTGAACTCTGAGTCTACTATTCTAAGATACACATTGGCCATGTACATACCTTTCCTAAGAATTAAAAGCTTGGTATTAGGTTAGAAATATCAGACAAAATGTTTGCCAGATGATTACCACATCTACTTACCATACTAAGGACAGCTAGAGAAAGAAGTCAAAAGGAACTCATAGGTAGGAGTCAGTGGAAGACTTGGCAGCCCTTATGAGACTTCTGCATCAATTAATTACACACGCCACTGGTCTGAGATCCATCATTTATTTCCTCTTATATCCTCTTTTATGCATTGTAGCTCACATTTCCTTGGTAATTGTTATTACCAATTCACTTCAATAGAGGGCAAAAGAGACTAAAGTTGTCATCTCAGACTAGAGGCTGCATGCAAGAGTGAGAATTAAGAAATCTGTGAGGATTACATACAATTGGAAACATAACTGAGGTAAAAGAAAAATACTAGAGCTGTACAGAATTTGGGTAATTTAATTTCCCTTAATGCTTCACTGCTCTCCCTATCTGTGAATCAGACTGAAATAAACACAAGAGCTTGATGAAACAAAATTATCTCAAAACTCTTCACAGTCATTTCTCTTTAGGCTTAAACAGATTGCAAGCACCAGCTTCACAATACAGGAAAAATATATGGTGCGGTGAACTGGAAGAACTGCCTTCTACATTTTCTTTTACTGACTGTTAATGCAGCAAATTTGTGAGTAATTTGGTACACATAAGGGAATTTCTTGTGGGGAAATACCATTTTGTTAAGTATATATAATATTTATATATGTATTATTCATTATTTCTTTAGTTAGTTTTTATCTTCTCTCTGATTTTGTTCTTCCATTATAGCAGGGGCTTTGCATTTCAAATGGTCTCTTTTCTGTTACTGAGTTTCAAAGTTTCAGTAATGGTGTTAAAGTCCCCTGCTTTCAGACACAAAGACACAATATCCCAGCAGTTATTAAAAAGTCTAATGTTTTATTAAATGTGAAATAATAGACTTTGTTTGGTCCCTGAGATAATTATTTCTTTCATTCCAACTGAGAATGCAGAATAGAAAGACAGCTGTGTTCCCTGCTCTGCAATGAATCCCATAGTGATGAACCACTCCAACTCCTGTATTCTTAAAGAAATCCTCACATAGTGATATTTGTCTCCTGCTGTTTTTCCCAAATTTCATGTGCACTAATACAATTTTTCACAGTGGCCTTAATATCTTTCAATAATTGATAGCTTTCTAGCTTTCCCATAAAACTCCCTCAAAAGTTTTTTTTTTTGGAGCACACCTGACCTACCAGTCCTCAAAATCTTCTGACTGTTTGCCTTCTATATGCTCATGGGCTTCATTCTGCCAGGCATATGGTTTAGGCCATATAAATTTTGTCCCCCAGCAGTTTGCTGACACCAAGAAAAACACTCATATTCAAAATTATCTTGAAGAATGAGAAAGAACTGATCAAATGAGGAAATATTATAAAACCAAGAGTAAAAATGTCCACTTAGGAACAGAAAATCAGCTACAGAAATACAAAATGGGAAACCGCCTGACAAAGAGCTCAGCTGCAGAAATTGATCTAAGACTTATTGCAGAGTGCAATAGAAATGTGAGTTGACAACTGTGGAAAGATAAAAATTAAAATTGTTGCTGTGGACATTTTAGAAGGAAAATCACGTCCAAAATCATACAGCAATAGTATCCACTGTGGGTGAGTTCTTACTTGGAATACAGTATTTGTTGTTGAGCATGGTACATTAAAATAAAGGGTGAGGCAACAAAATAAAGTGTACAGATGTATTGACAGGTATTAGAAATATTATGAGGGCAGAAATGAAGCATGAGTGGATATAACTGCATAAGTATGATAACAATGGACTATATTCAATTTAAAAATGAACCATATTCATATTAGAGGAAGGGCATAGTCCCCAACAGAAAGATCTAAAACTGTTTCCTGCATTTACCATTCCAGTCAAATCAGACCACAGATTGCTTTCCAGCAAAAGAAAGTAATATCACTTCACATCATATATACCATTCCATTTATTTCTATCCCATCTATAACACAGACTGTGGCCTTAAGGAACAGACTAGCCTTGCCTAAAATATATGGAGGTGGAAATAAGCAGAAGTCCAATGCAAAAGAATCATTCATAGTGATTTTTGGTTCTTGGGTACAAAACATCTTCCAAAAATTAGTTTGTCATTGCTCAAGGGAGATGATGAGGACCTGATACCTGGCATCCCTTCACAGAATCACAGAATCACAGAATTACAGAATAGCTGAGGTTGGAAGTGCCGTCTGCAGGTCATCTTGTCCATGGCCCTGGCTAAAAGAAGACCACCTGTACTGTGTTCAAGTGACTTTTGAGTATCTCCAAGGATGGCACTCCATGGCCCCCTGGTCCTCTGCGTTGTACACAAGTGACCCTGCCCAGACCAACACTTGCCTGTTGGTTCTTGTAATTGTGTGGATGTGAGGGTGTAAAGGAATGCAATCATTGAGAAAAGGACTGTGAGTGGGTAAAGCCAATGTACTTAAGAGATTTTGTCTATGATACCATAGAGTCTCACACTGCATTTTTTACACTAACTTATAACAGAGAAAAGCACAGACAGTGATACGTGCTGGAAGGATGCAAGACCTGGATTTGTGTAATCTGGATGAGAAAAGCTTCAGAGGCATTAAGTATGACAAATAATTTGCCATCACGTGCTTCACATTTTGAACATGTGCTGTTACCTGTTTGAACACCAGGATATGTTCAAACTTACCTCACTGCTGGGGGCTGGACCAGACCAGTGACTGACAGCAAGCTTTGGATGCTTAGTGCCAGATTCTTTGGCAAAGGCCCTGTGACTCAGAGCTCCTGGTGCCAGCCCAGATCCACGCCAGTTAAAGACTTGGTGCCTGTGCCAAAATTTTGTCACTACTGGGCTAAACAATCCCTTTTACTCTCTTCCTGACCTATATTGTTACAGTTGCTATGAAACCCTTACCCATGGAAGCAATTTTTCCACTAGCTCCATGGACTGTCTCTGTTTCTCACTACTGGGAAGTTTTATTTCTTCAATACAATTGAATAGAGTCATGCTTGAACTGGGGTGGAGATTAGTTAGTCTAACTCTTTCATTTCAGATGACTTTTGAAAAACTTAGCTAGAGTTAACCCAACTGCAATTCATTGAGTGGATCTTTTGCTGTTATCCATCTGACAAAGAGATGGCAGCAGGGTGGTGCTGTTGCATTTTTGTCTTAATTGACTTTTTTTAAAATCTGTTTTTCAGGAGTAACAAAACTGAGCTTCTGAGGCTTAGGTGTTTTACCAAAATTACACACAGAAATAGCTGCATCTGGTACAAAGTCAAAAAACAAATAGCTGCGCATTTTCCAACATAGATGCTTTTCATGTGAATTTTACACACAATATTCCCCTTGGTTTTTGAGGTATCTGCACAACTCATCTCTGTAATCTATGAAATTGAACATTAAGGTATCGAAGGCTGAATGAAGCCTACAAAATCTTTATGTTCTGTAAATACTGAGAGAAGTCTTTATGCTGGGAGCAGGAGGTGGATCCTCTACCTGTATTTTTAGTAGAATCAAGTTAAATAAAACACCACATTTCGTTAAGGCCTGGTTTTGAAGTGCTCTTTTTTTTTTTTCCTTTTTTTTTTTTGTTGAACTTTGCTATTATTGGATTATATTTTCATTCATTAAATGTGAAAATGGGAAGTATGTAACCAAGGTAACAATGATGTCCCTGGAGAGTATCCAAGTGTACAAATCTCACATCATCATCCTAAACCAAGCTGTACCTTGCCTGTAACCTGCACTCTTCCCATCATTTATGAAACAAAATCTTGCCAGCCAGAACCACATTTTGGGGAGGACCTACAAGAAAAGGGGGCAGCTGAATATTACACAATACAGGTGCATAAAAATGTTACTGCAACTGTGTGCCACGCACATCAAAACCGTGATGTGTCTGCAAATGAGTCATCTTGGAGTGAACACTCCTGGCTGGGAGCGACGTAACTCACTCTCACCCCATAATCTCATGGAGCATGAAACTTGACAAGCAGTCACAGCAGTGAGTAAGGCATGTTCTTAGATGGTCAGAGGCAGATTGGATGTATCACAGGACAGCACATTAGGTTTCTAACTTGGGACATGAAAGAACAAATCTTGCTATGCATCATTATCCCCCCATCATATTGCCCTCCTTCTCTGGTTCAGTTCCGTGAGTCTTTCCTAATCTGAGTGAGAAAAATGCACAGTGTCAGATGGTGCAGATAACGATAATACCAGTGAGGTATTATCAACAGGGCAAAAGCAGTAGCTTCTGTTCTGATGCATTTGCAGACCACTTCTGTCTTTAAGGAGACTGTGAGAGATCTTTGCCAAGCAGAGCTGATTCAAAATTCTGCAATTAATTCTCTGAACTAATTTTTTTGCTAAAAGTGCTTGCATTTAGACTTGCTGTAATACCAGGCCCTGCTGTGACTCTAACCACAACTGACTGACAGCAGATAACTATATTAACAAGCAACAAGCTTATCTGACAAGTGGCTTTTCATCCAGTTTCTTGTGTGTACACTTTAAACATCCTGAGTCCTGTGAGTCATTTTGGTATCAACAATAGACTGGAGAGTGAAAAGAGATTGCTTATAGGGTTTTTACTGCTTTCTGTAGGAAAAAAGCATCAAATGGAATCTTGTACTTCTTATCTTCTCCTTTCCCCAAATATTGCTCCTCCATTTCTTCAATCCATTTTCACAGTCTTATTTCCATTTCTTCCCACAATACCACCTCAGTCCAGTTCCTGTCTAGGCATTCCTCCAGATGTCTTGCAGTTTTAGGAACGCTTTACTTGCTCCTGGAACCAACACATGTGAGTAGATGAGTATATTGACGAGTACTTAAATCCCTTGTTACAAGTACTTCTGCCCCCGCGGTATTCCCGCATAGCGACAATTCTGCATTCTCTGGGTTGCAAAATTCTCCTAGATTGTGTCTGGAGGCTAAGATGGAGATGAGGACAACCTCTTCCCTCTGGTATAGTCAACAACGAGTTGAATACATTACTAGAGCTCTAGAGGTTGGCTTTTTATTCAGCACTTGAGCATTTCCCCTTCAATTTCCATTACCTTTTCCAAACAACTCTACTTGTTGCTGCATCTGTAGGCTTCACATTTTCAGCAGTATTTACCAGCGGCGAGTCTTTCAAAGCTTGGGTGCATATTTTGACACATTTCTGAAAGACCCAGGGCTTGCGAGGGACCGGCCGGTCCCGCTGGCCGCGGCGCAGGCCGTGCCCGGCGGGGCGGGGTCCCCTCCTGCCGGGAAGGTGCCGGTAGCCGCCCGCCGCCCTCCCCCCGCCGCCGCTCCGCCCCCGGCGCTGGCGGGGCGGGCTCGCTCCCCGGCGGCGGTGGAGCGGGCGCGGGGCACCGCAACTTCGCCGGGATGAACGTGGAGAACCAGGATGTGCTGCTGGATCTGGAGGGGGAGGAGGAGGAGGAAGATGATGATAATGATGATGGGGAGATCGGTGAGTAGGAGTCTGGCGCGGGGAGGGTCCCCCCTAGACAGCGGGCTCATCCCCGGGCGGCTGTGGTTCGGCGAGGGCTCCAGCCTCGGGAAGCCCCGGCGGGGCCGGTGCCGGGCGGGGAGGGCACCTGGCGGCGCCGCGCCCGGGCTGTGGCCGGCCGGGGCCGGGAGCCGCGGGCAGGCGGGGATCCCGCACCGCCGCGCGCCTCCTCCCGCTAAAACTACGGAGGATTTTTCCGCGAAAATACGGGATGGCTTTGTCCCTGCTGGCGACTGTGTGCCAGGAGTGGTTGCCTTAGGGAGCGCTGTGGCGGTGGTCCTGTTTCCGTAGCATCGGCACCGAAAACTTTGCCCGTTCCTTTCCGTCTGACCCGAGAGAAACGCGTGAGAGGGGGCAGAAACAGCGCTTTGCAGGGAGGGCGATGCCGGAGACCTTTGGTGTGGCAGTGATCTCCCAGCACAGGCACAACCCTTGCTCCGGTGCGTTGGTCCTTAGGAAAATAAAAACGCGATCGCCTCCGCACGCCCCGGAGCTCGCAGCATCCCTTTTCTCCCCGCGCTGCCTGTCTGGCGTGCCTTGGCTTGACACTGCGCTAAAGAGAAGGGTAATCACAGAACGGCTTGGGATGGAGAGACCTTGAAGATTATCCAGTTCCAGCACACCTGCCGTAGGCAGGGACACCTTCCAGCAGACCGGGTTGCTCATTGCTCCATCCTAGCTGGCCTTAAACACAATCAGGGAAGAGTCATCCAGAACTTCTCTGGGCAGCCTCTTCCAGTGCCTCACCATCCTCACAGTAAAGAAGATTTTCCTAACATCTAATCTAAACCTACTCTCCTTCAGTGACACCATTCCCTCCCCCCAGAACAAACAGAAGTAAAATGTAAGGGGAAATTGGAAAAAGAAAGATAGTGATTTTGCTGGGGGGGAAAAGAAGGCATATTGTGTCTGCCAGAAAAGCAGACATTAAAATGGACAGAGAGTTTTAAATTCAAAGTGTATGTTAGTCTTGTTCCAATGCCAGTAGCCCAGGACAATGGCATTGTATTTACTGTGGGAATGAATTCTATTAAAGTATTTCCAAAAAACAGCCCAAAAGGGGTTGTTTCTCAGCTGGTTCAGACTGAAGGGGCCTGTTTATTTCACTGAAGAGATACGGATTTACTTCAGTTCAGAAGCTGTTTTTCAGCTGCAGTAGCCAAGATAGTCTAAAGCCTTTTATTTCTAGTGAACACTTAAAATAAATCTAACAAATGAGGAATGCAGGTAAAAGTCGCTTAGAAACAAGCAGAACCTGGATCTGTATATATAAATTTTAACAAATAAAAAGGGTTTCTGCTCATTATTGTTCAAAAGGCTGTGAATATTTTCACTGAAAAGCACATATTTTTGATGATTTTTTAATATTTGGTCTGAATTTCTGCATTTGTAAAAAATTTTAGTGTCATAACTCTCTCTGATACTCTCATTGACTCCCAATACTAATCCTTAATAATGGTAAATACAACTTGCCATATTTATTCAGTTAGCTCACTCCAGAAGTGTATAATGTTTGAGCCTCACCCAATGTCTGTGGAAATCAGGGAATGTTTTTCCTCCAACATTATTAGCCTTTGTTTCAGATGGGAGTACCCATTGGCTTACAGTAATAGTCCAAAGACAAATCCATTTTTCCATATGAAGTGCAGCAGAGGTATTGTTTGACTCCACTCCCTGAATTTAAAGGGTGGATCAGCACTGCAGTGTGTTAATCAACAGCTGTCTTTTCCATTCTTCACCCCAGAGAACAACTGAATTTTTTCCTACTCATAACTCTTCATCCAACTTGGGGACAGTTCAGCTCTCAGAGCCAGCAAATCATGAGTTTCATATACTGTATACAACAGTTTGGAACAACTCATGCTATGTGGCAAAATTGCCTAAAAATTGTGCAGTGATCATTTAATGAGTTGTTACACAAGTGGCTTTGTCACTTTTGCTACTCTGCCTTGCAAAATGAATGTGTAACTGTCTTAAGGTTTTTATGTTAGGTATAATGACAGGAGAACTATTTTGTTAGTCTGACAAATATGTTAATCATTCATTTACCTCCAGTTTTATTTTGCCACTTGCATATGCATTTTTCCCAAGGACACCATCCCTGGTTCAGGAAGTAAGCAGGATTTCTGAGCTCTTTCCAGTTCTATTCAAGGTTAATCCAAAGTGTTTATAGCTCATCAGAAAAGCGTTATTATGAAATATTGAAGTTTTTAGTCATGGCACATAAAGGGAGTGATCTGTCTCATTTTGCCATACAGTTATTTTGGTTATCCATGCTGGTGACTAGCAAGTCACTCATGTCAGAAGCAGTGTTAGGCAGGCATCCAGAGAAAGAGCTGTACTCAAGTCCCAGTCCACAGGGAGGTACCAGAGCTGCTCTGCCTGTTGTACAGAGCTTGAAAATAATTGCTTGGATCAGAGCTGTGCTTAGGGAAGAAAGACTTGTCCTAAGGTTAGACTTTTTGGCAAGTTGAAACTTATTCTCGCCAATGCTTAAGCAAGATGGGCAACTCTTTCATTTGTACTCAGGCTGTTTTCAAGAGGATTTTTGCATGAGTGGCATAATTTTTTTTTCTGCAATTTATTCTTTCTCTGGTGCAAACCTCACAGCATATCCAAATTGGTTTGTTTGTGTTTGAGGATTTACAGAATATTTGAGTATGGTTTCCAGAAAAATTAACTTCTGCAGACGATAGCCAGAGGCATCCATCCTGACTACTTATCTGACAAGAAATGCTTTTGTCCTCATAGGGATGTGTTAGCAACTTGCTTATGCTTTGTGGTCTTGGTTTTACTCAAATATATTTGCTTCTTGAGCCTTGAGTCTACATCTTGTCATCTTTTGATACTGCTGCAATAATGACCATTCCATGCTTTATAGATGACCAAGAAAAGGATGTTCATGTATCAGCCCTTTTCTTCTCACACAGTGTGCTAATGAGGATTTAGGGAGAATTCCAGCTCTTCTTTCTAAAAAGGCTTTAATGTTGTTGTTCAGGACGCATTTTTAGCAACTACAATAAAAATGTACAAAAGTACTGGTTTCTTCAAAAAACATTAATTGTGGAGTCACAGTCTAAGATAACCAGTTTTGTTCAGCCCACTGTACAGCTGGAACCCTGCCCTGAGGAGTGATGTTGTAATCCAAATGGCATAAAGTAGGCATTTTCCCTTCCTTACTTTGCTCACTGTTATGTTCTCTGCTTGTTTCCTCATGGCATATACTGCATTTAGTCATGCTGCCTGCCCAGAGCTTTTATTTTTTCCTTTTCAATAGCTTAAATAACATGATGTTTCTTGTGTGACTCTACAAATATTATTGGTATCATATACTGTAGCCCAATATGAACATATACCGTACACACAGTGTCCTCCAAATTACTCCATTTTGCCTTCATGATTCTATGAAGTTGGCAATTCTCTACAGAAGTCTTCTAAAGGCAATGGAAAGCCTAAATATTTAAATTCTTTTTCTCAGTAGTATGGCTTTGTCCTGCAATTTATTAAGCATAATCCCTACCTTTGGAAAATTTCAAAGGGGCCAGATCTAATAATTTTTTAGCATGCAAGAGTTTATAACCAGATTCTTTTAATAAAGTAGTTCTGTTTCTGAATGGACACTTTCTTTCTCTTCAGTCTACCTACAGTAGTAGTAAGTAAAACTGTCCCAGTGGAGTCTTTTCACACCTGGTTTTCTTCTCTTTTACTTCTCATACTTGCAATCAACTTTAAAATGATTGAGGCATATTGCAGTTCTCTATTCTCCTGAAGATGGCAATACACTGTCTGATGAGCTGAGAATCAAGAATTTCTGCTCCCTGCATTCTGTTTGCCACCCTGTTCTCATGCACGTACATCTCTGCATACTGTGTGTACGTTCCTGCAGAAACAAGCAGGAATGTGGACACATGGTCTCAGTTATTCTAAATTATTGTTGGGGCAGTGAGAGACTCTTCCTGGTGAGCTGGGACTTGTACAGGTTTGGGAAACACTGGCCTGTTACACTGGTCAACACCTAAAATACTTTTCATGCCTTCATGTCCTTTCTCTTATATCTGTTAAACTGATGATTTACTTACATTTTTTTGTCTCTTCATACTTCAGTATTTTTCTCTCCTGAAATTCTGCCACTTCACCTTTGCAGAATCTAGGCCACAGATGAGTATACAATACAAGCCACACAATGACATCAACCTTGTCACCAAGTGTGGTTCCATTTACACTTTTACACTGCTGGTACCACTCAGTTTTTAATGCTGATTTAATGATTTTTTTCTGAAAAACTCCTAAAAACCAAATGGTAAGAATATAAATATTTAATTGCAATATAATTACCAATTTGCAACGATCTATAATTCATAAATTCTGGAGGAGATCAGAGAATCAGGCGGGACATTTAGGAAAATTATGCAAACTTTCATACATATATCCAATTTTAATCTATTTTAAAAGGGTGTTTACCATACCCGAATTCACAGTTGTCCATGAAAATTTTCCTGTATTGTGAAAGTATTCTTTGTTCTTGTGTTTTGAATTTAGCTGTACTGAGCATATGAGTGCATTTTACAGGTAAGTCTACAAACTGTAGGAGGACTTATCTGCCAGTGTGATAGCTTATGCAAATTGCACAACTTTAATAGTAATAGTTTTGTTTCTTTTCCCAGTTATTAAGTAATAAATTTTATGGTGGATATTTATCACAAGTCATTCCCTGAAATTTTTCCTCTATTTACACAAGCTACAAATTCCTTTCAGAGGAAAAGTACACTGTTATGCTCAACAACTTAAGATTTTTTAAAATAACTTTTCAAACATTACCATTTGTAAAAAAGAAAACTCCTTAAAATCAATATATAGGAAAAAGCCAGAGTTTTGTTACATGGTCCAGAGCTCCAGCAGTTCTATAATGTTACAGTTGTTACTAAAAGTAATGCAATCAAAAGCTCAGAAGAAACTGTCCTAATATCAGTTGATTTGAGCTTTATACAGAATATGAAAATGCAGATAGAGAACCTGAATTTGAAGAGACTGGAGACTTGGAAGGGAAGATGTACACATGCCGTAACAGATGTTGTGTTTCCACACAAAAGGACCTTTCAAGAGTAATTAGAGAAGAATTACTAATAAGATCTGTTACTATATGCCTGGGAAATTCTCAGAATCATAGAAAGGATAAAATTGGAAAGGACCATGGTGAGTCATTAATCCAACCTCCCTGCTCAAGCAGGGTCATCCTAGAACACATTGCACAGGGTTGTGTTCAGATGGTTCTTGAATATCTCCACTGAGGGAGACTCCACAACCTCTCTGAACAAACTGTTCAAGAGCATGGTCACTAGCACAGTAAAGTTCTTCCTCCTATTCCTGTGCATCTCTTTCTGCCCATTGCCTCTTGTCCTGTTGCTTGGCACCACCAAGAAGAGCCTGGAAACATCCTCCTCCCTCCCTTCAATACTGATACATTGACAAAATCCCCTCTCAGTCACTTCTCAAGACTGAACAGGCACAGCTCCCTCAGCCTTTCCTGATAAGAGAGATGTTCCATTCCCCTGATCATCTTTGTCACCCCCTGTGGGACCCACTCCAGGAGCTCCATGTCTCTCTGGCACTGATGAGCCCAGAACTGGACACAGCACTCCAGATGTGCCTCAGCAGGGCTGAGTGGAGGGGCAGGATCACCTCCCTGGACCTGCTGGCAGTGCTCTTCCCAATGCAGCCCAGGATTCCATTGGCCTTCCTGGCCACAAGGGCACTGCTGGCTCATGGACAGCTTGTTGTCCACCAGGATCCCCAGGTCCTTCTCCACAGATCTGCTTCCCAGCAGGTGGGCCCTGAGGCTGTGCTGGTGCAGAGAGTTGTTTTTCCCCAGGTGCAAGATCCTGTATTTGCCTTTGCTGAATTTCAGACAGTTCCTCTCTGCCCATCTCTCCAATTTGTTGAGGTCCTTCTGCAGGGCTGCACAGACCTCTGGGGTGTCAGCCACTCCTCACAGCTTTCTGTTGTCCATAAAGTTGTTATAATTTATGCCAATCAGTAAAGTTATCATTAAAATCACCTCATCATACTATTTCCTCATACCTGCCAATTCCTTGGAAATGATAGGTGGCATGCTGTGCACTGAAGGTCTAGTTTGCCACTAGAAAAACCCCAAGGGGAATCTGATACTAAAATGGGTGTTTTCTGCTGTGATTTAAAAAAATGGAACCAAACAGAAGTGTGATTTTTTTTTTTACATGGCATAAATTAAATAGTCTTGTACCCCTTAAAAAAGTCAAATAAAGTAGCATTAGCCTAACTTTGGGATTAACTGGTATAGTCAGGAAAAGGGGTTACTAATTGCTGTGCTTTTTACATAATGCACAAATAATACAAATAAATATTGTGTGCTTGACATGAGAAAACCTTTAGAAAAAGTGCTTCAGGCCTTAAGCATATGGAACTGCTGCAATTGCGTGTTTAACAAGATAAATTATTTAACAGAGAGTGAATGTCAAGGAGGACAGCTCTGAAGAAGATGCAATGGGTTGGTTTGTGTGCTGTTCTTATATTGAGAAAACAAAGGTTAGGGGAGAAGTATTATGCAAGTGCTGGGCTCTGTATCTTGATTAATAGAGAAAATCAGATTATTTTTAGTGGACTGTCACTAGTGCTAAAGTGCATGTCTTTGGCATGGTCCTTTCTAACAGTTGAAATATTGCTGTACAAAATATACATTATTAAACCGATATTTGATATATATTTGTTAATATAAAATTTTTTAAAAATATTCGCTAAGGGCCAAATATTCAATGGGCCTAATATCACTTGCAGTTTTTAGGGTTTTCTGCTTCAAACTTAGTCTTAGTGTGAATGTAGGTGGAACAGTCTTACCTCTGAAGAGAGTGAGCTCATCTGCAGTATTAGCTGCGAGGAGAGACCACTCGGACTTTGCTACTGTCTGGTGTTCTGGTTCCAGTCTGATGGATCTGGAAGTTGAAGTGAAAACTGGAGGCTGCTATGTCACAAACATCTGAAGCAGCACAAACTGGTTTGGCTACAAAAAGAAGTATTCCCACCCACAGCCACCCCACAGCAGCAGCCCAAGTCTCCTTAGCATTCTGGCCTTATCTTTCACTGGGGAGGCTCAGTGCCAGTGTGGTAGGAATGCAAAGCTGCAGAGAAGGACACTGCACACTTTATCTTCTTATTGCTGCTGTCTATGGTAAATTAAAATTGGCAGTCATGCACACTGCCACCAAACAATAGATTGTTTTTGGTAGTCAAAGAATGCAAGTATCTAAGCATAGATCTATTGTCTTTTCCACCCCTCACAATTTACTCAGGCATCCCACATCTCTCTGAAGGCTTTGTGACAGAAGAAGTGTCTTGATTGTATCCCAAGGGAATATACAGACATATGAAATATATTTTTGCTTAATTCAATGGAATTACTCTCTTCTTACCTACCCCATTCTCAAGTATTTGACAACAGCAGTAGACATATAGACATGGTTCCCTGCAGGGACTTGAGAAGTGAGCTCCTGAAGCATCCTTAATGAGTGCCAGATTCAAATTGGAAAATTAATAAAGTATATTAAACTGTAAACTGAACTTTAAGAAGTGTAGTTACAAGCCTGCTGGACCATAAACATTCTTTTAACTGTTTTCTTGACTCACAGTAGAAACAACAGCTTAGTTTCAGAATGTTCTGCAAAGGCCCTTCAATTTAGTTTTTACATTAAATACAATTAAAATAATTTCCAACTAAACCACTATTCATCAACATTATTTAGACACAAGTGAAAATTAAAGTTTTGTAAGAACTGCCACCAACAGCAGATTTAGATTTGCTTTTACTGTTTCCTTTCCTTTCATTTTTTATAGATGAAATTCATCTGGCCCCATTAATCTGGTTAGTCAGGTTCTCCAGCATTTTTTAGATATGATTTATTATGGGACATTAAATATTTGCATAAGAGACTGCTTACATTACAGTAATCAGAATGAGTTGAGCAGCAGTGTTCTGCTGTAGGAAACAGCTACTACCTCTTTTGTGTTTGGTGCTGTTTGTGACCAGCTGGTGCCGCAGGCTAAATGCCTGGAAAACTTGAGTTCCCATGGTGTGTGTCTGTCCTGCAGGCTTCCAGCATGGTGGAGATAGATCATAGAATCACAGAATAGTTTGTGTTGGAAGGTTCTTTAAAGCTCATCTAGTCCAGAGGCAAGAGCCAAGAGCCCCATCTTCAACTATCAGGTAGCTCAGGGCCCCATCTAGTCTGGCCTTTAATGCTTCCAGGGATGGGGCATTGACCACCTCTGGGCAACCTGTTCCAGTGTGTCACCAACCTCATTGTTAAAAACTTGTTCCTTATAAGTAGACTGAGTCTACCCTCTTCTAGCCTAAAACCATCACCCCTTGTCCCGTCTCTAAAGGCCCTACTAAAAAAACTGTCCTCACCTTGCTTACAGGCCTCCAGTTAGTCCTAAAGTGACACAATAAGGTTTCTGCACAACCTTCTCTTCAGACTGAAAGCTCTTGGTTCTTTTTCCACAGCTGTAGCAAAGACCTGTGACCTGTCCCTCAACCATTACTATTTTGGGAAATTACAGTCAGATAAGAAATCTTCACTGTCTAGGAAGAGTAGGAGCAAGAAGTGCTTGTGTTGAGATACCCTGCACCTGTGTGCAGGTGTGATGATACTAATGGACTTGTGTCAGGAGAAGGGAATGAGATTAGTGACTTTTCAGTGGGTGAAATATTGTGGATTCTTTCCTTCCTTTGTGGGAGGAATAGTAACTAAAAAATGTCATCTGGGTTGCAGATCAGGTTGGAAAGTATGAGAAGTGATTGTACAGCAGTGGTGTAGCAACCCTACTAAAGATGCTGGGAACTGATATTAGTAATCCAAGGGTGTGCTAACACAGTGGAGGAGTTAAGAGTCATGAGCAAACAGCCTGTGGAGAAGCTGTGGTCTGTTACTGTCATTCAAGAAAGCCTGAGGTAAGCATCAGACTTGAGTTTAGATCAGTGGAGAGACTCATGTAGCACAAACCAAGGTCTTTCCTGAAGGTTCTCATAAAATAAGAAGTGTTGAAGTAATGAAAAGAGTAAGGAAATGGAAGTGAAAGCAAAACATGTTGGGTTCTGGGTATGGACTGAGAAAGAAAGCAATTAAAAGTGAAAGAGGAAGAACTCTTGACAGTATTCACAAGGGGAGGGCTGGCCAGAGCAGCTATTAAGAAGCAGTTGTTTGCTGTGGGTGGTGAGGCACAGGAACAAATTCCCCAAAGGAGCTGGAATGCCATATGCCTGGGAGTATACAGGGTCAGACTGGATGGAACTTTGAGCAACCTGTCTAGTGGAATGTGTCCCTGTCCATGGCAGGAGGGTTGGGAAACAGATTATATTTAAGGTTCCTGCCAACCCAAGCCATTCTGTGATTCTATGATTCTGTAGTTATAGTCACCTATTTATCTTGTCAGGAACTCGTTAAGCAGTGGCATAAAGATTCTTCCAGTTGAGTTCATCAGGAAAATAAACTACAGAAGGGACTAAGATAATATAGCTATGGTTGCAGTGAATTGAAATAATTCATCTGTGGCATTTTCATGTATATTTTTAATATATAGTAAAAATTGAAATGTGTTCATTGGTAATTTATCTAGCAGGAAAAATATTGCTATCTTTATAGTATTAGTTATTTGCAAAAAAATTTCCACTGCTGTATGTTTGGCACTGCAGTTAGAGATAATAAGAAGGCTGAGATGATAATCCAGAGGGCTCTAGCAGTGCCAGAGAGTTTTATTAGTTTGTGTGCAATATTAGTAAGGTTATTGGTGTTCTTTTTCTTTTTTTTTTTTTCTGTAAGTAGTCTAATGTAATTTTTATATTCATTAATGAATAAGGATGAGGTCAAGCAAGGCACACTTTACCCTTGTAAGCAGTCCCTTTGACTAGAGTGGGAATAGCATCATTTTTGTAAACCATGTTGAAAAAGCAGAATTAGTCCCTAATGGAAGGAATATCTCTATTAAATATTTCATCATCTCCACATATGCTGATTTATTCTAGGAAAAATAATTAAATTCATTTAATCATTCTGCTGTCTATAAAATACAAGAAGGAATTTCACACTAAAGCACATTTTAATCTATAAAGTGATGGTAGTACTTAAGACACAACCCAGCAATAGCTTCTACAATATTTGGTAAGACTTAAACATGTAATAATTTTTTTTTAAAAATTACTTGAAGAATAGAAGAGTCAATGCTGCAATATACTTTTTAACTTGCTCCTTGCTGATAACCAAGTGAGGAGAGAGAAAGCTTAAAGGGCAATGCAGTTCGGCCAAGGAGAGCTCCAGATGTTTTTGTAAGTTTATTGGAGTTTACAAGAAAAGCAAAGTTTGTCTATCACAGAATCACAGAATAAGCTGATTTGGAAGGGATCCACAAGGATTATTGAGTCCAGCTCTTAGCCCCATGCAGGACAGCCCCAAGGATCACACCATGTGCCTGAGAGCATGGTTGAAATGGACTCTGCCAGCCTTGGTGCTTGACCACTTCCCTGCAGAGACTGTTCCAGTGCCCAACCACCCACTGGGTGAAGAACCTTTGTCTAATATCCAACCTAAACATCCCTTGGCACAACTTCAGGCCATTAGCTTGGCTCCTGTCACTGGCCACCACAGTAAAATCTGAGAAGTCCCTTAATTGCTAAAAGTATAAAGTATTTCCTGATTAGGAAACAAAAGTACAGTTTGTTTCTAAACTCTGGGTCCAACACCAAGAATGCTTACAGGCAGAGTCTTTGCGCCCACACACAAGTTAAAAAGTATCTCTAAGTTTTGACTTAATATTTTCACTGTTTTTAAAGTAATTAAAAGTATCTTTTGGGACTCTCCTGTAAACCCACTGTCTAACATCTGAGTGTGGGAAATACTTAAAGCAAACATGCTGAGAATCTTGTTACAGAAATTCAAATGTATCTCCTTTGAGACATGTAAATTTAATAGCAGTGGGTATAATTTTGTAAATCTATCTCAAGATTTCTAATTAGATAGCTCATTGATCCATAGGCATTGAAGGCTGACCAAACAGCCATCTGCAATTGCAATTGGGTTAATCATGTCAGCTCCCAATTAAAAGGCTCCATAGCTGCTGCCTGGAGGTTTGGCATTGGTGAGGAGCACCAAGGGATCAGCTTGGCTGCTAAAAAACCTTTGTTTGGAGCTTGGGGCAACTGCTGTGTGAGGGCTGCCCTCCTGTAAAACACACGGAAGGCAGGGTATGCTAGTTCCCTCTGTAAAGGGGTAGTAATTTTGACAGTATGGTTGAGATTGATCTTGGCAGATTTGTCTCATGACAAAAGCAGAAGTAGCTGTCTTCTTTATATTTCCTTCTTCAGGACGGTTGTTTTCTTTTAGTTGATCTGGGATAAAAACCAACCAAACAAAAATAAATCACATTATTTTAAGCAATGAAGAAAACACCTTTGGATTCAAGAAGGCCCTCTGGGACCTTCAACACTGAAGGAGGTATAAAATCAACTTATCAGACTTTTGATCAGAGGCCAGACTCCACAGTCCTCTGCAAAGCATTCTGTCACAGTCCTACAGCGAGTCAGCTGTAGAGTATATGCATGTTTATCAGGCCAGGCTCTGGGCATGCATGAGACCTAGGCAGGGGAGGGAGAGTGTTCACACAGAAATAGTAAACAGCTTGTGCTGATTCTTGGTTTCATCCTTTCTACTTCTTAAAATATCAGCAATACTGTGTTTTAGCAGCTGATTTAGATAAGATCTCACTAACTCCTCTGAAATTACTCAGGGAAAGAAACCATAAAACCAATGGTTTTTTTAATGGAGTTTGGGCTCAAGTTTCAACTCAACCTTTTGATAGCTGTTACACTGCTATCATTTCATGTACTTGTCCAGGCTGTGGTAGGAATACTGATTTTTACAGGATTACCTGCAGCATGCAGCCTATAGTTCTCACACAAAAGTGTAAATTTCTGAGGTAGCAGGCTGTTGCTCCTATGTTCCAATCCATGTAGGGAAGGATTACCAGCCAAACATGAGAACACAAACATGAGAATGATTCTTTTGAGATAAGTGGATCCAGCAGGGTCCATGAAGTTATCTAAGTGTGCAAATGTTGCAGTCTTAGTCCCCAGAGCCTGGGGGTAGCTGTTCAGTAGGTGTTTGTCAGTGTGTTGTTTATTTTCCAACATTTTGCATGATGAAAGCATAAATAATAAGACCCTATTTATCATTTGTGGTTGGGTGTATCGTTGCTTTATTTTAATTTGTTTCTTCAGAATGGAGGAGAGTTTAATTAAATGCATTGGGGATAGATGTTTATCCTGTGCTTTGAGATCAAATGTGTCCATCAGAAGAGCTTCTGCATCTGTCAC